AAAAAAAAAAATATTTATTTTTTCATAGGCACTACCATTTTTTTTAATTTCACTTTATGAGAGATGATAGTCGATAGACTTCTCCTCATTTATTTATTTAAAACAATTTCTATATCAATATATTGTTAATACTATTGAAGATGTATGCGAGGGAACATTAAGATTATTAAATCTATCTGATATTATTCAAAATACCTGTTCGAATATAATCATTTCAATATGTAACTAAGAAAAATTTCGAAAAGGAATAAATGAAAAATACATAATCTGTGTATTAGTTCTGCTTTTTCTTTTACATAAATGCATTAATGGAAAAAATGTTTTTACAAATGTATTATCTTTGTCCTCACAAATAAATAGAAACGAACGGTATTTGTATTTATTTTAGACAGTCGTTTATATATAAAAATAAAATTTTTGTTTTTTGAAATCATGCCACTCCCTTTTCGCCCATCGTTCTACTTCATTAAAAGTGCGCAAATGAAAAAAAAACAAGTCTTAGCTAGAGTATATAAACTATAATTTTTTGTATTTAATTCATTTTTTACTATATACATGATGTTGATCACGCGATCGCTTATCATCTTGTTAGTAAGTTTTAGTACTGTTGTACATAATTCTCATTTTCGTGGTGGTACAATAACATGGTATGTAATCTTCTACTAATATATTTTTTATTATTGTATTTTATAGGCGTCCTTTGAACAATACTCCATCCGGCACTACAGTTGCTATCCAAGTGCGTGAACGATGGTCATGGAATCGTATCACTTATTACTGCGATGATACAACCATAGCTGCTCAGACTAGCATCGCACCTGGTGGTTACGTCTATGGTTATACTGGTTCATATAGTTCATGGACTGCTATGAATACACTAATAAATTGTACAGATTATAGTGCTGCACTTACTGTTACTTCTGGTGAACATTATGAGACGCAAACATTTCCATTAAATATCGCATTTAGTATTGGTTTTGTATCATCTGCTTGGTTTGCAAATCTTGCTGTTGGTGGCAATGGTGGATGGAGTGTTGTTTGTCGAATCAACACTGCTCTTAGACCTGATGGTTACATAAATTCCAGTCCTATTGGTGTCACTCTTCCTATTATCTACAAACAAATTAGTGTTACACAAGTACATGTTGTTCAAATGTCTGACTTTGATGGAACCGATATATTGCAATGTCGATGGTCAACTTCATCAGGTAATATTAACGGATACAATGAATGTAGTGGTGTATGTATGGGCATTCCTCTTTATATTAATCTTATTTCGAATAATTGCACACTTGTGTTTCGGCTTGCAACAGCTGGACAGTACGCCGCAGCAGCATTACAAATTGAAGATTATTTTAGTAGTTCATCTACAACACCAATGAGTTCTGTTCCACTACAATTTCTTTTCTATGGTTATGCTGCACCTACTGGTAGTTGTACTACTCCACCTGCTATCATTGGTAATCGGCCAAATCGAGGTAAATTATATATTCTTTCCAGATGTATAATTGTTTACTTCATTTTAGCTTGTATTGGTACACCAATCGGTTCCAATGTTACTGAATATATCATTGTACAAGTTTATTGTCCTGGACATGCTATTACTGATTTAGTTAGTAGTGCTCCGACTGGTATGAAAAAGAGTACTATTATCAATTCAAGTCCTAGTTAGTGTATATTATGTGTTTTATTTTGTTTCTTTTATTATTTCGTTACAGATGTTTATGAAATCATTCTCAGTTGGATTCCCATAGCTGCTCAATATGGCCCGCAATCATTCTGTGCTGGAGCTATCGATAATATACAACTTCAATCGAATCAATGGTGTATTACATTCTTAGTTGGCTTTGAATCTCCTGATATCATTCGTCCATCATTGGTTCAAGGTTCAGCTTCACCAATTGGCACTGTCTTTCAAAATCAAACACTTTTCTCGATTCAAAGTAATATTTGTGAATAAATTTTTATATACATTTAATTGTATTTAAATTTTGTTTTTTCAGCGACAAAATCTGTAAATCGTCCAACACTTAATGGTACGTTCATTTATTTCACAGATGCTGCTAATACTACTCAACCCGTTGCGAAATTTGATTGTGGTTGGGACCCTAATGTCATATATACAGGTTTTACAACTATCGTTCGTTTTCCAGT